AAGTTAGTTAATGAAATATAAACATATTATAAAAAAAATAAAAATAAACCAATACAAAAAGACAACAAAAAATTTTAAAAAATACATATGAGAAAACGGAAAAAAAAAAAGGAAAGAAAAGATGAAAAAGTGGAGAGAAAAAAGAGAGGAAAGAAAAGGAAATAGAAGGAAATGAGAAAGAAAAGGGAATAGAGAAAAGAAGAGAGGAAATGACAAAGAAACGGAAGTAGAAAAAAAAAAGTAAGAAAAAGAAGAAGGAGACGGGAGGCAGAAGAGAAAAGAAAGAGAGGAAGAAAGGTAAAGAAAGAGAGGAAGAAGAGAAAATAAGGGAAAGGAAGAGAAGTGGTGATATATATAAGGCTTATACGGACTGCTTTCGGTCTGTATAATCTTTATTGGCCCGTCGTAACAATAAATTTTAATTTTTTCGGGAAAATTTTTGGCGCATTAATAATATTCAGACCGAAATCGGTCTAAATACAAATAAATTAGCGCAGAATAAAAAAGATTCAAATTTACGGTAAAAATTTGGCGCATAAATTAATTACGGACCATAAGGCTTATACGGACCGAAAACGGTCCGTATAATCCTTATTTGCGCCCCACACCAAAAAAATTTCAATTTTTTCAAGAAAATTTTTGGCGCATTAATAATATTCAAACTGAAATCGGTGTGAATATAAATAAATTAGCACAGAATTAGAGAGATTCAAATTCACGGTAAAAATTTGGCGTATAAATTAATTACGGACCGAGTTCGGTCTGTATATGTATTTACAATACAATTGATTACATTAATATATTCGGACTGATTTTGGTCCGAATATATTGGAAAAAAATTCATAGGGCACATTTTTATTGTTTTCATTTAAGGACATCACCATTTTCTCGTGTCCTCAATCCATTTCTGCGAAAACTAAATGCATGTACATCGACCCTACAATTCCTTAGAACCACGAAAGCATTGATTGTCTACCTAAAATTATCTTATAATGGTACTGAATAATATCGTTGCAAAACCACGAATGTATAAGTTGAAGGTTATTAGAGATAATGTTACATAATGCTCTTTCGAAGTAATAAGCAAATAAATTCATTTTTTTTTCTTAAGGGTAACCACTTTGGCTTGCAAACATTCGGAATGTTATGGTTTAAAACGAGAGTAGAACGATTTAAGCATGAAATAACAAAAAAATAAAAAATAAAAAGTGTTGTTCAAGGGAATATACAAACCGATTTCGGTCCGTATAGATATATACGAACTGGTATCCGTCAGAATATAGGCAATCCGAGGGATTTTTTACCCCAGAGCTAAATTAAATTAAGTATGAATATATATACGGACCGGTTTTGGTCTGAATATATGCAAAGAATCCAGAAGCTTCCATGCTTTTCATTTTTCAGACCGATTTTGGTCCGAATATACTAAAAAAAATCCAGAAACTTCTTCCAGTGTACATTTTTATTCTTTTCATTTAAGGACATTATCATCTTCTCGTGTCCTAAATCCATTCCTGCGAAAACCAATTGCATGTACATCGACCCTACAGTCCCTTGGAACCACAAAACCATCGATTGTCTACCTGAAATTATCTTATGATGGTACGAAGTAATATCGTTGCAAAACCATGAACGTATAAGTTGAAAGTTATTAGAGATAATGTTACGTAATGCTCTTTCGGAGTCACAAGCAAATAAAATTAATTTTTTTTTATTTAGGTTAACCACTTTGGCTTGCAAACATTCGAAAGGTTACGGTTTAAAACGAGAGTAGAACGACTTAAGCATGAAATAACAAAAAAATAAAAAGCTGTTGTTCATGGGCATATACGGATCGATCTCGGACCGTATAGATATATACGGACCGGTATCGGTCTGAATATAGGCACTCAAGGGATTTTTTTTCCATAGCTAAATTAAATTAAGTATGAATATATATACAGACCGGTTTCGGTCTGAATATATGCAAAGAATCTAGAAGCTTCCATGCTTTTCATTTTTCAGACCGATTTTGGTATGAATATACTAGAAAAAATCCAGAAACTTCTCCTAGTGCACATTTTTATTCTTTTCATTTAAGGACATTATCATCTTCTCATTACCTAAATCCATTCCTGCGAAAACCAATTGCCTGTACATCGACCCTATAGTCCCTTGGAACCACAAAACCATCAATTGTCTACCTGAAATTATCTTACGATAGTATGAAGTAATATCGTTGCAAAACCATGAACGTATAAGTTGAAGGTTATTAGAGATAATGTTACGTAATGCTCTTTCGGAGTCACAAGCAAATAAAATTAATTTTTTTTTATTTAGATTAACCACTTTGGCTTGCAAACATTCAGAAGGTTACGGTTTAAAACGAGAGTAAAACGACTTAATCATGAAATAACAAAAAAAATAAAAAGCTGTTGTTCAGGGGCATATACGGACCGATCCC